GCTGCTGCTGCTGCTGCTGCTTCCGCTGCTGCCCTCGTGTCCAGAGGCACCACAGCAACGGGCTGGCTCTCTTCACCAGCGGACCGCCTTGCCTGCAGCAGCAGCAGCATGCTGCTGCTGCTGCTGCTGCTGCTATCTGCGGGGACTACCCCGCTGGGCTCAAAAGGTAGGTCTGCGCTTGCTGCAGCAGCGCCGTCAACCCCGGGTGTCTGTACAGCTGGGCTGACAGCAGCAGGTGCTGCTGCTGCAGCAGCAGCAGCAGCAGCAGTTTGCTGCTCCACACTAAACCGCAGCAGCAACAGCTGCGCAGGGACTCCATCGCCTAAAAGCTTTGCTACGTTGCTACGCATAAACAGCAGCGGATTGCTGCAGAGCCGGCCCGCCTCGGGTTCGCCTGCTGCTGCTGCTGCTGCTGCTGCTGCTGGAAGGGGAGGAAGCGCCTCCTCCAGCAAGGCAGGCCCCGCAGCAGCAGCAGCAGCAACAGCAGCCACAGCAGCATCTCTGCATGGGGCCGGCGCCTGGGGGCCTAAGGTGGGTGAGTTGAATGGAGAGGCCCACACGCTGTCGTTGCTGCTGATGCTTCTGCTGCTGCAGCTCCTGCTGCAGCTGCTGCTGATGCTGCTGCTGCTGCAGCAGCACTCCGAACAGGAGCACCTGCTGCCCAAGATCTGCTGCAGCGTCTGTATGGCATCTTCGCAGTCTACGCAGACTGTGCTGCAGTGCGCGAACCCCCCAAGCCCAGCAGCAGCAGCAGCAGCAGCACCTGCAGCAGCAGCAGCAGCAGGGCCTTCAAGGGCCACTGCCTCCCACTTGCACTCCTTCAGAGCTGCTTCGGGCGCATGCAGCCGCCGCAGGCGGCCGCGGCCTCCGCACTGCTGCCACTGGCGCTGCGCTGCAGCGCCCTCCACTTGCTGCTGCTGCTGCAGCTGCTGCTGCAGCTGCTGCTGCAGCTGCTGCTGCAGCTGCTGCTGCTGCTGCGGGGGGGGCCGCACGTGTTGGAGAGAGGGCGGCCCCGGGGCCGCCATGGCCGGTGCTGCTGCTTGCGCCTCGCGGGCCTGAGCAGCAACTCGTGAACAAGTTGCTGCTGCTGCTGCTGCTGCTGCTGCCGCTAGAGGCCCACCTCGCTGGCTGTCGGTTGCATTCTTCGGGCCTTCGAGGCCCTAATTGGCCTCTCAAGCGCCGCCTGCTGCTGCTGCTGCTGCTGCAGCCCCCGTGCTGCAGTGCGCTGCGTCCGGGTGCAGCAGCAGCACTGCAGCAGCAACCCCGGGGGTCGCACAAGAAGCAGCTGCTGCCTCGCTCCTGCTGCAGTGCTGCAGCGACAGGCCGTAGCAACCGCCAGCTACCTGCTGGAGCTGCCCCCAGCCGCGCGCTCCGCTGCTGCTGCTGCTGCTGCTGCTGCTGCTGCTGCTGGGCTCATGGAAAGCAGCAAGCATCAGCCTGGGCTCGGTCCAACAGCAGCAGACGAAGCCCCGCCGCCGCCCTCCCCATGACTCTGCCCTACAGCGCTGCAGGAGCTGCTGGGGTCCCCGGGTGCAGCAGCAGCAGCAGCAGCGCGAGCAGCAGCAGCAGCAGCAGCAGCTGTGGCTCGTGTGTCGGGCTGCAGGTGCGCGAGGGCGAGTCGAAGTTTAAAGGAACTGGAATTGACAACGGAGGCGGAGGAAGCGGGAGGCTGGGGTGTAAGTACAGCTGGGCTGGGCGGTGCTGCTGCTGCGCTGCGCTGCTGCGGCGAGGTGTATCGCAGAGGCGCAGCTGCTGCTGCGGCCTGTCTTTGGGGGGACTGAGGGGCCCCAAGAAAGAAGGAAAGGGCCTAAAATGGAGACAAGGGCTGTGAGCAGCAGTTAAAATGGCTGGAGGGGCCTGCTGTCTTCGGCGCTGCTGCTGCTTCTGCTGCTGCTGCTGCGCTGCTGCTGCCACGGTGCAGCACGGAGGGCCGGCAGGGCTGTCGCGGCTCCCAGAGACCCTCCAAAGACAAACAAAGATCAAACAACACAAACCAAAGACACAGAACTGCTGCTGCTGCTGGGGGCAGCAGCAGCAGCAGCAGCGAGAGCAGCAGCAGACGCCTTGGGCTCCTGCGACTTTGCGGCGAGTAGCGGGGCCACCCCAGCCAGCCCCGCAGCCGCCGCGGCCGCGCAGCAGCACCCAACTGCTAAATAGAATATCAATTTGAATTCTTTTTCTTTTTTTGATTTAAATTCAACAAAAAAAACAAAAAGTGCAGCGCAGCAGGCCCTCCCCTGCAGCCCGCGCGCCGCCTCCGCCGCCGCGCGCCTCCCAGCGCCAGCGCCTCTCCACACATCTGCCCCCGATTTCTGCTGCGTCTGTCCCAACTGCCCATTTTATTTCTTTCTTTTATTTAGTTCTTCGTTTAGACTTTCCTAAGAGTTTTAATTTCGCCGAGTTTGCGCGAAACGCCCCCGCTGCTCGCAGCAGCAGCAGCGCCAGTGAGGGGAGGCTGCTCGCGCGTCTGCTGCAGCAGCAGCAGCGCCTCTCCCACGTGCAAATTGCCCCCAAATTCCGCTTTTTTCGCCTAATTAAATCATTAATTTGTTTTCAAATTGTTTTTTAGGCTTAACTTCGAACTTCTGCGAAAGGCGGCGGCGCGCCAGCGCACACAGCCCCCTTCCACTCCCAGCGCTCGCGCTGCTGCTGCTGCAGCCGCTGCAGCCGCTGCTCTCCCTGCGCTGCGCCTTCCCGCCTCCCCACACGCAAATTTATTCTTTTTTTGGTTTTTATTTGTTTTTTTAAGCCTTTCAAAACCACAAAAAAGGGTTTGCAGCCCCCAAAACAGCCCCGCACCGCTGCGGCCTCCTCCCGGCCCCCAGCACACAGCGCCACAGCAGCAGCAGCGCCGCTGCAGCAGCAGCCCTGACTGTGGGGCCCCAGCTAGCTGAGTAGCTAGCCAGGCGACCAGCTGGACAGCTAGCTGGCTGGCTAGCTGGCCAGCTAGCCAGCAGGTAGAAGCAGCTAGCTTGGTGTGGGGCCCAAAGGTTGGCCGCGTAGCTAGCTAGTTCTGCAGCTGCACCTGCGCCCCACAGCTAGCTGCAGCTAGCTGCAGCTAGCCGCAGCAGCTAGCTGCGCCGCCAGCTCTGCTGCAGTTTGGCTAGCTGGCCAAGTTGCTACATAGTGCGCCCGATGCTATTCTGCCCATCCAGACAGCTAGCTGCCTATCTGGCTGCATGTTAAGTGGCTAGCTAGCTAGCTGGCTAGCTGTCTAACTATCTAGTTGGCTAGCTAGCTAGCTAGCTGGCTAGCTAGCTATGTGTCTAGCTATCTAGCTGCAGCTGACTAGCTAGCCAGCTGCACGCATGGCTAGCTGCATGCGTGGCTAGCTAGCTAGCTAGCTAGCTAGCTAGCTAGCTAGCTAGCTAGCCAGCTGGCTGCAGCGTCTTTCTGGCTGTGGTCGCGCGCGGGAGTCAAGACGTTGCTGCTACTAATTTGTTGAGTTTGCTGCTGCTGCTGCTGCTGCTGCTGCTGCTTTGACAAGTGGGGAGGGCGGGGCGAAGTTCGCTGGGCCGAAAACAAAGATTAGGTGCGGCTGGCTTTGCCTGTGGACGGCTGTGCTGCTGCTGCTGCTGCTGCATTAGCAGCATCAGCAGCATCAGCAGCACGAGCTGCTGCTGCAGCTGCCGCCGCAGCAGCAGCGTCCTCCTGCTTCCCGGCGCCCCCCGCGCCCGCGCCGCCGCCGCCCCCGCCGCCGCCGCCGCTGCTGCTGCTGCTGCTGCTGCTGCTGCTGCTGCGGGTGCGGACGTGGGCGAGAGTAATCAGGAAAAGGTTCTTGTCGCGGAGAGAAGCAAAGAAGAGCGGAATGCAGTTGCCGGAAGCAGCAAGGTGCAGCGCAGCACAGAAGTCGCTGGGGCGAATGCCCGCAGAACAGTCCACCCGCAGCAGCTGGCTGCTGCTGTGCAGCAAAGCCTTTATGGACTGCAGCGGCACCACGCGGCTCTTTGCTTCGCACGACAGCAGCAAACTGTCCTCGCTGCTGCTCAGCCGCACCACGCACTCCAGCCGCGACTTGTCCTGCAGCAGCAGCAGCAGCAGCAGCAGCGGCGGCGGAGGCAGCGCAGCAGCAGCAGCAGCAGCACACGCACACACCGGGGCCGTGGGGGTGGACGGCGCGCAAACGCAGAGCTCAGCTGGGGCCGGGAGGCAGACACCAACACCAGCAGCAGCAGCAGCAGCAGCAGCAGCAGCAGCAGCAGCAGCAGCAATAGACTTGAAGAGCAGCAGCCGCAGAAGAGCCCTTTCCGGGCTTTGCTGCTCCCGCAGCGCAGCAAAAGGGGGCGTCTAACAACAACACCAACACCGCCAAAAACACCAACACCAGCAGCAGCAGCAGCAGCAGCAGCAGCAGCAGCAGCAGCAGGGGACGGACTTGGAGGATGAGTCCGACAGCAAGTCCCTCTTTAAGGGCTTCTGCCATTTCGGGGCGAAAGTGCTGCGCCAGCTGCTGCTCGCTGCCGCTGAGGGCCTCGAGGGGGACCTGCAGCGGGTCGCTGCTGTCGCCGCAGCAGCCGCTGCATGCGTTTCCCATTGCCCGGCGCAGGGGCCTAGGGTTTAGGGTTTAGGGTTTAGGGTTTAGGGTTTAGGGTTTGGGGTGGGGGGCAGGGGCTGCTGCCGGCGGCGGCGCCAGCGGCGCCAGCGGCGCTGAGGAATCGCCCGCGGGCCGCGCCTGCTGCGGAGAACTCCTCGAAAGCCCCTTTGGAAGAATTAAAAGTGAAAATGAATTTATAAAATTAAAATAAATGAAAAAAATCGGAAAAGAAGGCGGAAGAGCTGCAGGCGGCGCAGCGGCGCTCGGCTGCAGGTCACTATAGCAGCAGCAGACGGCGCAGCAGCGCAGCAGCGCCTCGAGCCGACGCAGCCGCCGCGGAATTCAAAAAGATTAATTTTAAATTCAATTCAATAAATCAAGAAATAAATGATGTGCGGCCAAAAGGAACTCCAAACGCAGCGGCGCGGCCCGCGCAGCCGCTGCTGCCTTCGCTGACCGCTAACCGGCGCCACCCGCTCAGCTGTACGTACACCTCCCCAGCACTCCTTCTCCCTTTTCAAATTTATTCGCCACTCGCAACTCTTCACTTCTTTCAAAACTGAAACTCTCGCGAACTCTGGGGCTGCGGACACGCCGGCGCCGCTGCGGTCGCTCGGCTGCTGCTGTCCAGCAGCACCAGCAGCAGCAGCGGCGGCGCTGCCTCCCCTGCCGGCCCCGCTTCTCTATTTTTTCGCCAAAATTTAACTGCAAATGCACTTTTATTTATTTTGTTTTCCTTTTTTCTCAAAGATCGCAACAAAACGCCCCGCATTCCCCAGCTTTCCGCCGCCGCCAGGCCGCAGCGGTCTTCGGCGCAGAGCCGCTGCCGGCGCCGCAGCTGCTCCGGTGTACATCCACCTGCGCCATCAGCCCTCTTTAGTTTTCTTTTTTCAAATTTAATAAATTTATTTCATTTCCACTCTTCACCTCCACTTCTGCACCGATAAATCCCCCAAAAACCCGCACGCGCAGCTGCAGCATACTCACAACACCCCCAGCAAACCGCACAGCCTCAAGTGGCCTCTAGAGCTCTACTGGAGGCCCCTGGGG